ATATATATATATATATATATATATATATATATATATACACACACACAACTAATTGTGTTGTAATTTGCTTCATTTAGCGACTCAGAAAATGTTTATCTTGGACAAATTAAAATTTAAACGACATCTTTGACATCTTCATGAAACACCGAGCGTCTTCAGAAAGTTCTCACTCATCAAATCTAAGAGGATTTCAGGTTTTCTGCAGAGCGACGTGTTGTTCTGCTGCCGTCTGCAGCTTGAGCAGGAAGTGGAGGTGTGGAGGTGAGCGGAGCTCCTGCAGGAGGTTTCCTGTCTGACAGTCGGCCTCAGCTGCAGGATAACGAGTCCTCCGGGGATCCTTGGTGAACGCTGACAACAGCCCCGCTGCCAGGAGGCTTCTCCCTCAGCATCAGGCCGGGGGTTAGTGGTAAATACAAACCAGGTCCACGGGGGGGTCATTTAACACATTTCACTAAAACTCAACTAATGTGCTGCATGGGACTGAATGAATGAATGAATGACTGAATGAATGACTGACTGACTGAATGAATGAATGAATGACATCGTCTCCAGTATGTTAGAGCCTCGTCCAAAGGTGCTCGTACAGCAACAACACGAACATTCATTCTAAAAATGATTAAAATATTATGGACAGAACATTTCATGACTAACACAGACCAGTGTTGGTGAGGTGTGTGTGACACTGTGTGACTGTGTGACACTGTGTGACTGTGACGAGTGTGTCAGTGCTTCATAAATGTGATGGCCTGTGGAAACGGCCTCTGAACCTGGTGGTCCAGGTCTGATGGACCTAAAGCGTCTGTGAGGTCAGCAGGTGAGTGTATTTAAACAACCTTCTGTTACCAGTCCCACACGCTCAGTGCTCCATGAGTATGGGACTGGAGGCCCGTTGTTACAGGATGTTCAGTCCTTATACAAGCGGTGAGAGAGTTTGGTTCTTATTGCCGACAGTAAGTCGGACCCCTTGAGGGTGGGAGTTGGACTCCACCAGCTGCCCATCGTCACAGATTCTCTTCAGAACTTTTATGGACAGTTTCTCGGTGCAGCCAGAGGGTTGAGGGAGTCCGGCTCAGTGGGCTCAGGATTCATCTCTGCTCTTTGCAGATGATGTGGTCCTGTTGACGTCATCGTGCCGTGATCTTCAGCTCTCACTGGAGCGGTTCACAGCTGAGTGTGAAGCAGCTGGGATGAGAACCAGCACCTCCAGATCTGAGGTCATGGTCCTCAGTCAGAAAAACAGTTAACTGTTCTCTTCAGGTCGAGGGTGAGGTTCTGCCTCGAGTGGAGGAGTTCAAGCATCTCTGGGTTTTGTTCACGAGTGAGGAACGAATGGAGTGAGACTGACAGACGGGTGCAGCATCTGCAGTATTGTGGACTCTGTGCCGGTCCGTTGTGGTGAAGAGGGAGCTGAGCTGCAAGACAAAGATCTCTGTTTACCGGTCGGTCTACGTTCCTCCCTCACCTCTGGTCATGAACTCTGGTAGAGACTGAAAGAATGAGATCATGGATCCAGGAGGTTGAAATGAGTTTCCTCTGCAGAGCTGGACTCTCCCTCAGAGACAGGGGGAGAAGTTCAGTGATCAGGAGAGACTCAGAGGAGAACCACTGCTCCTCCACATCCAGAGGAGCCAGTTGAGGTGGTTCAGGCATGTCCGACTGAGAGAAGACCCCGGGGAAGACCCAAGACTATGTCTCTCTGTTGGCCTGGGAACACCTTGGAGTCCTCCCAGAAGACCTGGAAGAGGCTGTGGAGAGAGATGTCTGGACCTCCCTGATCAAGATGCTGCCCCCGAGACCTGAGTCCAGAACAAGATGAAGATGATGTATGGATGGATGGATGGATGGATGGATGGATGGACCAGTGAAAGTTTAGAAAACACATTTTCTGCCAGAAAAGTTTTAATTTTTTTAAAATGTTTGTGAATCCTTACATTGAGGAGATAAACACTAAATTACAGTTGTTAATAAAGAAATGTTTTATTCATCATAAAGTGCCCAAGTAAGAAAAAAATAAAGTTTATGAGAACAGAGAAAACTATAAATGACATTTAAATAATAAAACAAGTTTATTTTTTGTTCCTCTGAGCTTCATAAACCGAGTCGTCTTCAGTAGAAACACCAAACGCTCCAGTCTGACTCCGCATCCGTCACAAATATCAGTTACACACAAAACGGGATTATAGTTTGACAAACAGCTGTTCAGGTTGGAACATGTGTTGTCTTTAACAGATTGTAAATCGTCTTTTGTCCCTAATTGCAGATCAATAATATAAATTTGCAGCGTCCAGGTTTGATCGGTTCACGTTTGGTTTGAACTCGTGTCGAACATCGTTTCAGATCATCACAAACGTTAAAATCGACAGTTTGTCTCCGACGTGCTGCAGACGTGATCTGAAGACGTTCGTGTGGAGTGAGACGGTCAGAGCGGCGTGGTGGTCTGCTTCATGACCTCCAGCCTTCAGCTCAGAGGAACCCGTTTCAAACAAACGCTCCGGTTCTCAAAGTTCTGCAAACAAATTCTGTTTTCCCTTCATCAGGACCAAAGTTAAATCTGATGGACTTTCAGGGCCTCACAGCAGCAAGACGACTTTAAATCACAGTAAATGCATTAAAAAGGTCAATAAATAAATTCATTCAAGCGATAAAAATGTCAAGGACCTGAATTTAAATCAAGGTTGAGGTCAACAGCTGGTTGAAATGATTAAAGATGGAAACTTTTTTTAAATTACACTTTTGATGCACATCCAACAACAACAAAATAAAAAACTAACTCAAAATAAGAATCTTGTCTGCATTTGTTTTTAAATATAAAATACACATTTTATCTGTTAGATCTGTGTTAACCAGCAGTCTGGTTTAAAACCACCTCCATCGTTGTTCAGGGGTGTAAATATTAAATATGAGCAGCATTCGAACCCAAACCCAGTTTGTTCTGAACCTCCAGAACATCAAACCTGTTCTGAGCAAAGTGGAAATAATTTGTAATCGATCGTTTAAAAGTCCCAAATGAAACGCAACAGAAGCATCTCCATGCTGAGCCTTCCTCTTTCGTAAACAGAGGCATTGTGGGTAATGTAGTTTAAACAGATGTTGGACGGGACCAGTTCCAGACCGTTGAACAGTCAGAACTTTGATTCGTTGTGATTTCCTCTCCATCCTCAGTCACTCGTCTTCAGAAACAGTGGCGCTCGAAAGTTTGTGAACTCTTTAATTTTCTACATTTCTGCATCAGTAGGACCTAAAACATCTTCAGGTTTCACACAAGTCCTAAAAGAAGATGAAGAGAACCAGTTAAACCATCCATCCATCATCTTTACCCGCTTATTCCATTTTGGGTCACGGGGGTCGCTGGTGCCCATGTCCAGCAATCACTGTGCGAGGGGCGGGGGACACCCTGGACAGGTCTCCAGTCCATCACAGGGACACATAGAGACAAACAACCATTCACTCTCTCACCAAGGGACAATTTAGAGTTACCAATCAGCCTAACATGCATGTTTTTGGGCTGTGGGAGGAAACCGGAGCACCCGGAGAAAACCCACGCATGCACGGAGAAAACATGCAAACTCCACCCAGAAAGGCCCCTGGACCGGGGTTTGAACCAGGGACCTGCTCGCTGAGAGGCAGCAGCTCTACCAGTTGCACCACCGTGCTGCCCACCAGTTAAACTAATGAGACTAAAATAAGACGCCAGGTCACTTGTTTATTGATGAAATGGTCCAAGAGTACAGACCTGAGTGGTAAAAGTTTGTGAACCTTTGTTTCAGCAGGGGAGTGGTGGTGCAGAGGTTAAAGGTAGGCAGTGGTCTGAAGGTCACCGGTTCAAATCCCTGGTCTGACAACATCAAAATGTGGGTGTGAAAGGTGAAGCAGCCACACCTGCCTCCACCCTCATGCGCCCCACTCTGGACCCTTGAGCAAGGCCCTTAACCCCCATCATCTGCTCCCCCAGGTGCACCAGATCACAGCTCTCTGCTCTGCTCAGAGGCTGTGGTAGCTCGGTGTGTGCGGTTCATCAGGAAGGACATGTCGTAAAAACATTCACGTCTTGGCGAGTTAAATAAAATAAAGGCTTCACAAACTTTCAAGCACCGCTGTATCCGAGCCAACTCATGCCGTCTGTTTTCTGAAGAGGAGGTTCCTGTAAAAATCTCCCAACAAGGTTCATGTTCTCTTCCAGGAACCATCAGCTGTTTCCAGGTTTTAAACTAATTTAATTTGTTTAAAACGTTCGGACGGATCAGCTTTTCAAAAAATCTCTGTTTGGCCCCTTTTGATTTAATAACGCTGGTTTTCCACGTCAGCCCAGTGACGGACTGGTGACCAGCCGTTTGGGTCATTTTGACGGAGCCGTGTAAATAAATTTAAATCTTTAGAGCTGATCGCTGAGACGGTTTGATGATCGTTGGTTTGAACAGATCCGTGTGGAACCCGACGGCCCGACCGGTGAATTGAAGCGTTAAACTGGAGGTGTGAAAGGTTAAAAAGTGCTTAAGATGATGGTAACAGTCAGAAACAACTCCTCCTCCTTCTCCTCGTTCAGCTGATGATGAAGACTCTGGGGCCCTCCTCCCTCATAGGAGGCAGACTTTCTATCACCACGTTGTCCATGAGTCCATACTTATCCTCCTTTTTATTCCTCCCTCCTCTTCCTCCTCCGCTGGCTGAGACTTCCTCTGTAAGCCCCTCCCTCTCCACTGGCTGAGAAAGCTGATTGGTCAGCTGCCTCATTGTAATCTGCATCAAAAAACAAACATTGTCCGTGAGGTTGCATCAAGTTTATTTTATTAAACACAAAGAAGCTGCAGTTTATCTGCACACGGGGATTAGAGGGGAGGGAATGCACACCTGCAGCTCCCTGAACAGGTGCAGCATGGCCACGCCCACCACGATGACCAGGAAGGAGCCCAGCGTGGTGACCACGTCCACGGCGGCCATGCTGCTCCACTCCTGGAAGAGGATGATGGAGGTGGACAGAACCACGGAGGTGAAGAGGACATAGTAGATGGGGTACACCAGCAGGGTGTTGAAGGTGTCCAGAGACTTGTTCAGGTAGTTCACCTGCAGATGGACACACAGGTGAGGTCGGGTGAAGTGCAACACTAAAACATTAAAGTTTGTAGAGCTCTTCAACGTCTGCAGAAATACAATGTTTAACATCAGACCCCCAAACTGCCCGAGTTCTGATAAAACCAGCCCGCCGAACAGGTTTCTGTGGAGTGGTTATACACGGTCAGTATTTTACCTGCAGCAGGTAACAGCCAGGGATCATTCACAGAGCTGGCATTTCATTATGTGGGTCTGAAACTGTGCAGAGATACTTTCATGCAACATCCCAAAAACCGACATGCTAACCGGCTCGCTTTGCAATTTAGTCAAAGTTTTTTAAAATATACTTTACATGTCCTGACAAATGCTCTAATGACAAAAGAGTTATTCTGAGATTTGAAAGAAAATTTGTTAAAGAATAAAGCAAAAATGTTCATTTTACTTAAAACACAAACATACAAATAGTAAAAAATATAAAACTGATCATTTTCCAGTGACCTCCATTTTGTTTCGGAACAGATTTTTTTTATTTTTACATTTCATGGTTTCACATAAGACATGATTCAAGCTGGTGAAACATCTTACAGCGCGGATCATCAGGCCAAGATGCAGGTATCCTCTCAGAGGTAATCTCACCTGCGTTACTATGGAGACGATGAGCGTGATGAGCAGGATCCAGGTGAGAGGATGAGCGAGCACAGACAGGTCATAAACCACTGAGCCGAAAGAAAAGCGTGGCGTTACATTTCCTACAGTTCAACTCTTCCGAGTTCACAATAAAACTTTCAAAACAGAAACTGTGGTTGGAGCAAAAGTGGCACCGTCTGTTGGCGGCGTCTCACCGGTGTTGATGGCGATGGCGAGGCCCTTCACCGACGACACGGTGAAGGCTCCCAGCAGCGAGCAGATGCTGATGTAGATCAGGATGTTGGACCGCCCGTACCGAGGACAGAAATACAAGACGAGCACGGCGCACAGAACCAACACTGCCACGACGTACACCAGGAAACCTGACACACATAGAAACACACAGTTACACAAACCATCAAGAGGTCCAAGTACGTCATTAAGAAATTAAGTTCTTCATCTTAAACATAAAGAACGTTTATGATTCTGACAAATTATTACAGTTAATTACAGCCCACCTGATGTACCAGTAAGGCCAATATTTTAAGACGATGTAGACATTTGGGGACATTTCGGTATCGGCAATAATTGTCCCATTATTTGCTGATGTAAACGCATCTAATTTTCATCCCTACAATGCTGGAACTAGCTGTAATTGTACAATGTATCCAGCAGAGGGCGCATGAGTCATGGTCGTTCACTTAAGTTTCGCTTTCAGCACAGCCGAAGCAGGGAGCAACTAAATACTGCGTGGCGTATTTTGCTGAACAGAGCATGGTAAGTTTGTTTTAACTCATCTGTAAAATAAAATAAAAATAAAAATAAATTCTCTTCAATCCTCCAACCATTAGCTCATTTTATGCCATTAGCTACATGCCTCTAAAGCTAGCAAGCAAACGTTAATGTTCAGTTGCACCACCTTCACAACATTAGCCCCGCCGTCAGTACTTCTAGCAACAGTCCTGTCGGACTGAGATTCCAGTTTGTGAGAACATCCAGTGTTAGTAACATATCCTGATGCATGCTCAATAATCCAGGTAGAAAAATCTAAAAAAGTTAAATCTGGTCCTCTGGACATTCAAAAAAAACAAAGCAAATCAACAAAAAATGTAGAAACGTTTCGTCTCTCATCCTGAGGACTTTCTCAGTCTGAGGTGCTGTATTCAGCTCAGTCTCTTAAATAGCACCTTCTCAGAGTGGATCAACCAGTTTTGCTGCTGACAACCAAAACCAGCTGATCACATGCTCAAGTCATTAGCACCTGATGGCTGTTTACTGTTCACAGAGGGCTGAGTGATACTAGCAATCACAGCATTGTAAGAGGGGGACAGTTGAACCCGGAGGCTCCACCCCTGTTTAATGATGGACGGTTTATTTTCACAAAGATGGCCTCCTTTACTCCTCTCTCAAACCATCGTTCCTCTCTGTCCAGGATGTGAACATCTTCATCCTTGAAAGAGTGACCGCTGGCCTGGAGATGAGTGTAGACCGCAGAGTCCTGGCCTGATGATGTTGATCTTCTGTGCTGGTCTTCCTTTTGGCCAGTGGCTGTTTTGTTTCCCCGATGTAAGACTGATCACCCCCCTGACACTGAACAGCATACACAACATTACTCTGTTTGTGCCAGGGGACTGGATCTTTGGGATGAACCAGTCTTTGCCGTAATGTATTTTGGGGTTTAAAAGCCACTGGGACGTTATGTTTAGAAAATAAACGTCTCAGTTTCTCTGATACTCCCTCAACATATGGAATGACCACTGGTCTGGGTCTGGGTTCCTCCTTTTCACCTGTTGGCTGACTGGAGTCCTGTTTGGGTTTCTTCTTTCAGGAAGGCCCAGTTAGGATATCCACATTGCTCTAGAGCCTGTCTTAGCTCAGGAGCCAGGCAGAAGGAGAAATCCCACACAGGATGAGAGACGAAACGTTTCTACATTTTTTGTTGATTTGCTTTGTTTAGTTTTTTTTTGAATGTCCAGAGGACCAGATTTAACTTTTTTAGACAGTGTTAGTAACGTTATCTTTGTCGTCCTCAGTGAAATGCAGTTTGTCTGAAATCTTTACTTCTTAACAAAGAAAAATAAACTCTGCTGCGGTCAATGCTAATTAAACCTTCATGTGACTGTGTAAACAATGAACAGAAAGGGTGTTTCTTTGTTTAATTCATATTTTTGTAACACACTTCACAACTTTACGGTGAATAGTTGAGGACAGAAAACGTGAATGCACGTTAGGAAGACTGTTCTTATGTAGATGAACAGATGACCTTAGACTTAGTTTTTGACATGGGCCTAGTCCACTACACTTATGACCAGTGCAACACTTGTAAACCTACTGGGGACTAGTGTTAATCTGATTAGCTTAGCTTCATGGATGCTAACAGCTGTGCCAAATAAACAAGCTCCGCCTCACTCACCGTTTATTTAAATTCTTGGGGGTGGACAAAGCACAAAAAATTTCTGCCATTATGTCGGTTATCAGCATTAGCCTTCACCTCCCAATATCGGTATTGGCGATAGCCACATTTTTTATATCGGTCGGGCTCTACTGTTAATGCTGGCTAATGTGGCTCTGTCAATACAGACATCATTAAGACCGTCCCCTCCACCTATACCTCAAACAATAAGGTCTTGTCTTTTTATTTAATCTTTCCGACAAAATGAAGTTACAAAATAAATGTTGAAACAATTTAAAGCATTTATCTATAATAACAGAAAATAAATCACCTTTTCACAATTCCCTAAACCTCTCCAGGCTCTCTTCCACCTGCTCCCTACACTCACTATAGATGTTGTAAAGATCAGAGTCCACGGGGCCTGCCTGGCCTCATCATCTCTGAATGAAGAAGCTGGTCCCACCCACACCTGGAACACACGACGTCCCTCGGACTGATGCCCGTCACATGCTGGGCCCCGAGGTTAGCGCTAACATTTCCCAGCATTCCCTCTCACCAGGCTCCAGAAGCTTCTTGGCCATCTCTTGCAGCGACTTCACTTCCTGTTCCTGTGGAGCGTGAATAACCAACAAAACGCTCCCCAGCACGCAGAGAAAGCAGCCGAGCTTCCCGACAAGGTTGAGCACCTCCCCCAGCAGGTAGGAGGACAGAACGGCACTGAAACAGAACAGAAGACGTTTATCACACAAACTCATCACAACGTTTCCGTGGTCTGCTGCACACGTCAGTCTGAGCGGCTCGTAGGGATCACTCTTGTACCTGATGAGGACGCTCAGAGCGCCCAGTGGGGTCACCAGCGTGGCCGGGGCGAACATGTAGGCGGCGAAGTTACACACCTCCCCCGCTCCCACTGCAGAGACACAAAGACTCACTGAAGACGCCTCAGGAGTTCAAGTCAATTCAACCTGCGACTGTGAATTCAACCAAGGAAGGTCAGCTTGATCCAACGTTACAACATTTCAATAGAGAACACATGAATCTTTATCCGTCTGTTAGCAAAATATCTCATGATTCACCAGAAAGATTTTAATACATTTCGAACAAAGTAACCACTGGGTGAATCCAGAGCTGATTCACGATGGCCGCTGCAGCCATCCAGTCTCAGCAAACATATATGGCTACAGCTCAGACGTTTTTACAGACGCTGAGCTGAAGAGTGGTGCGGTAGTAGCTGAGAGTCATCCCAACACAAACTGAGTGCTAACCGATCAAAGGAGATCTTCGTTTCAAACCTGGCGGAGCGAGGCAGCGGCTGTTCTGTAAATACTCCCGCTTTGTTCATTTGAGAGAATATTTCTCGTTTTAAACGGAATATAAAACTGAGAATTTTAAAAGACACGAGTATAGAGTCTGAGATGGAGCTCATTTCTCTGAGCACTGCACAGTCTGACCTTCAGGGTGAATCTACTGAAGACTGTCAGCTGTCTGAAATGTTTTCCACGTGATTTACTTTTCTCTCTGTAGAACGATGGACTCCAGATAGTTTGGGAATGACCTTTGACCCTTTCCTGATTGATGAGCAGAAACCTTCTGAGGTCATTGCTGATTTCTTTCCACCCTGGTGGTTTGTTAACGCACCCGTGGGCTCCAGGGCAGCAGAACCTGCAGCTTTTCTCTTCTTGTTAAGTGAGCTGCACGCCACCTGCTGCTCTCGTTAGCTTCATGAAGTCTGTACAGAACAAGAAACGAACCGATCTCCTGCCTCAGAGTAAGAGTGAACATCAGCAGAACTCGGGTTCTGTTCCTGTCACACGGAGCCGTGAGAACCTCCATGAGGAACATAATACTCACTGGTCAACAGGCCTCCCCACCACAGCCAGTCCTTCAGGTATCCGTGTCCTCCGTCACCTGCAGGAAACATTAACAGACATTTCTTCAGACTTCTTGGAAGTTCAGTCCTGATGCACAGGATCTGGTTTCACCGTACCTCCATGAGAACAGAAACCACAGATCAGGTTTAAAGGTTCCTAAAGCAGCAGCACTTAAAGCGGCCTGCCCGTAAACAAAGGTCCAAAGCAGAAATGCTTTAGTTCTGGTTTAGTGTCTTTACATTCCGTCTGCTCTCCCACACTCAGTTCATCGTTGTTCAAACCTTTAAATGAAAGTCACCAGGACTTCTTGTATACTTTGATCAACTAAACAATTAAAACAAGGAATAAGATGATGTCGCATTAAAAATGTTGTCTGCCACAATTAAAATGGAATAAAATTAATTAAAAATACCATAAATGCATAATAAATAGGTTAATGTGGCTCTAACTATAGTGAATGAATAAGCCCCGGAGTGGTTCTGGTGCAGCTGCAGGGTTCGTCTGTTCAGAAGGAGTCGTTTCTTCCTACAGTCTCCTTTGGGCAGCAGACGGGATGATGCTTCCTTACACAGATGACTTCTACTAATTAACATTTGTTCTAATTAACGATTTATACTTGGTGTGAATGTTTCCTGTACCGCGACCCGAGGCTTCCGTTGTAAAACTGCGCCGCATAAATAAATAAATGAAATGAACCTGCTGATGAACGCCAGCTGTGACGTCCTGCCGGTAAACGAGCCCAAATCACCAAAAACATTTTAAACTACATTCAGAACCGTCCACAGAGTCTAAAACCACAGAACACAACAGAAGACAGCGGGCGGAGGAAGTATTTTTAGAAGCGACTACTTCGTGGAGCGAATGATTCTTTTCGTTTCCGCCCTCATGGACCAGACCCGGTTCCTGTCAGAACCACCAGGATTTTATTTCTTTACACTCAGAACTTGTGTCTCGTAAAACTTTACTGCATTTGTTAATGTTCAACTCCTCCAGGTCCGCATGCCGATGGTTAGAATCCCGATGTGGAGCGCGTTAACTCACCTGCTCTGGTGTGTCCGTTACTGGCCAATCGGAGGAGAGCTTTCTTCTTCAGGATGACGCTTCCACCAATCAGGAAGGCCGACAGCAGCGCCAGCCCCAGGCCCAGCCACATGTTGTAGGACGTGTACGGCTTCGCACCTGAACGTTCGACAATCATTTTTACATCCGAGCGTGAAACAAGTTTTAATAAAGTGATCTGATCGTTTTAACCGTTTCACAGAGTTGGCAAAATAACGGTTACAACCAAATTTAAAAAATACAGAGCATCTGGAAAACTGCAAACAAGAACCCGACAAGATAAAACAACAAAAACACAAAGAGACAAGTGATAAACAACTAACAGCTCCCTGTCCAATTCAGAATCTAACTTCTAACCTACAAAGCCCTCAACATCCTAGTCCATCTTATATCATAGACCTTATTGTTTCATATTTTCCTAACAGACTGCAGGTTTACTTCTGGTTCCTAGAGTTTCCAAAAGCATTCTGTCCATGAGTTTGACTCCTTGTCTACTTTTGAGATTAGATTTAAATCTTTCTGTTTTGACAAATCCTATAGTTAGGGTGGGCTTGGGTTTCCTGAGCCATCCCTTAGTTCTGCTGCTATAGGCTTAGACAGCTGGAGGACAAACTGACCACATGTCCTCTCTGCTGCCATCTTTACTCGCTCTACCCGTTTGTAATTGTAATTATTTCCATCTTAACATGTTTTTGTCTTTCCTCCTATAGAAATTACACCTGGACGTGTCCTCCTATAGAAACTACACCTGGACCCGTCCTCCTATAGAAACTA